AAACTTACACCAATATGGGTAGGACCATATCCGGTAATAAAAGTATTAGATTATAACGTAAAAATCCAAAAAGAAAAAAGGATAGCTACCTTACATAAAAATCATGTAAAAATATTTAAGGAATAATATTATGATTTAATTATTCGAAATTACATATAATTTTAGGTTTATAATAGTAATAGGAGTTTTCCAAGCCGTTCGAACGCAAATTTCGCCATACAATGTTTCAACAATTCCGCACGAGAGTGGAATATACTTCGAAAATCGAGGACCACTGAGATTAACCAATTCGGACTGGAAATTATTAATATATATTAATTTAGATAATTATAATAATAGACATATAGAAACAATTAACTTTTATAATAAGACAGAAAAAATATGTGAAACTCTAAAAAAAGAAAGTCCCGAGATATTTAATACCACGTGTGGTAATTTTGCATTAACCTCCGCGTCACTACTACAAGAAATTAGTAGAAAAAGGTCCAATATGCTGCAGTCCATAGACATAGATGAGATAAACCACCGTGAAAAACGGGGATTAATTAATATAGTAGGACATATTCAGAAGACGTTATTCGGAACGTTGGACGACGAAGACGGGGAGATGTACAATACGCAAATAAGGGAGCTCCAAAATAGTAGAGTAGGTCTGTTAAAAATAGTAGATAAACAAACCAGTATATTAAAATTAACAAATAGTGTATTTAAGGAAGCACAGTTAATGGAAAACCAAATTCAAAATTTAAATATGTCGTGTAGTAACCTCGAGATCAGCTTAAAACGCGCTTGGTATCAAATAGACATATTAGAAATACGAACAACAATAACAAATTTAATAACAACATTGTTGCTGCTACTACAGCAATTAGTATTCGAAACAGATATGGTAGGGGAGATAATATCGGCGGCACAAAACGGTATAATACATTCAGGTATAATATCTACTAGAGAATTAAGAATGCAGCTGCGGGACATACTAATAAGTTTGCCCGGGCAATTAAAATTACCTTTTGATGTAAATTACATATCACTTTATGAATTAAGTAAGATTTCAAAGCTGGCTATAGTATATATGAATGGAACTCTCGTATTCGAGTTAGTGATTCCATTACTAAATCCAGTAGAACTAACATTGTATCACATAATACCATTGCCGGTACGCAAAAATCAGCTCTATATGCACCTCACGCCCGAATTCGAATACATGGCCATATCTAAAACACACGAGTACTATTTAACGATTTCCGTAACACATTTAATGAACTGTAGGGAATTAGCGAGTGTAACAATGTGTCCCGAAAAACAACCATTACGTATGGGGTCCGCGGGGTTACCATGTGAAATCGAGTTATTTATGAAACCGACGATAATTCCAAGAACTTGTGCTATAAAATATTTAGAATTATCACGTAGCATCTACCATAAGTTGAAATATCATAATAAGTGGATTTATATAATAAACACGTTGGACGATGTAGCTGTCACCTGTGATCATTGGGATAACGCTAAGAATATACAATTAAGGGGCGTAGGTATGATAACATTAAGTGAACAATGTAGGGCGCACACACCACAAGTAGTATTAACACCTAGCCGACATCTGAAGTCCATTCAGTATATCGACTTCATTCCTCCGGTAAACATACCAGTTAGTGTAAAGATTCCATTACTACCCAGTGCTAAGCTTGAAAGTTTACTTACCCACCAAAATCCAGTAGTCAAGTTGAACGACATTAGTGACTTCTCCAAAACAATCGAGGAGTTAGAGACTGCCGTCCAAGAAGAAAAGGATAGGAATATATTAAAATCAACCAGTGGTATGCATACAAAAATAATTATTATATTAAGTATAATATTAGGTCTGATAATAGCTTACAAGCTATTCAAAATATATACTAACCGTAGATACCATAGTCACAGAATAATCGTGCCTAGAGTGGAAGTAACACAATTATAAAAAAAAAAAGAGGAATTTCTTTTATAGTATAATATAACTTATTTTTATAGAAAAATATATACCCGAAATGAGTGGAATAGAAATTAACAGAGCATTCCTGGGGCAATTCTTAGACCAGTTAAAAATTACAATGAACCACGAGTACCATGTGGTACCGACCGAGTCCTATCAATACCGCAATCCGTCCTGTCTAAGGGGACACATCAGCACCACCAACAACAACTTAGGGGATCCTTTTACCGAGGATCAAACCGACCTTATTTATGCACACCTGTGCAGTTTCATTCATTATTCAAAACTAAGAAGTATGGCCGATAAGGCGCCATGCATGATATTATACGGGTTCTTAGGTTTAAAGGACATAGTAATTAATAGGTTGATGGCTATGCTGACGTAAGAATATGATAACTAACTATTTATAAGAAAAAAAAAATGTATGTAATAAAAAAAAAAATATTGTAATGTACTAACGTAATATTAAGAATTTTTGTAAACTAATAATACCCGTAAAAGATGGATTTCATGATACTAGTAGATCAGCATTCTGAGCAATAGTTAGAGGTCTTATTAATCATAATCCCTCGTTTTGTGGGGGAGGTGTTGCAAATACTACAGGCCACACGCAGTTCGGTATGCGTCCGATACGTGATGGGCAGCAGTAATTATTATCTAAAAGACAACGCAATAGGTATAAGGAAAGTATGATATTTGTTACATAAAAAACAAGGCTACACGTAGCAAGGATGTACGTGTAGGTACCTTTTTCCTTATACCAACGCACCTATATAACAGGGACCCTAACGAAAGGCTCATCACTCTATAGTTAGCAGGCTACTAGTTGACGGTATCCATGCTGATTATTTATGTCTTAAATTGTACTGTTTCAATAATTTGAAACTATTCTTAATTGATTTATGTTTTATATTTAATAAACTTATATTATAATCAATTCGAATAAGAGTTATTTGTTCGACTTCGAAGCCTATCAACAGTGTCTCTCATCCGGTTCACAACAATACCATACGCGTTTTAAGCTAGTTTCGAGATTTTTACATGATATATTTAAGTTTCTAATTAAATACGACCACTTAAGTATTCGCTATGGATCCTCTAGTACTTTAGAAACTAACTTTTGCTTGTGGCGCTCGTTAATAGTAATTAATATACTGTGCCACGTACACCACGCGTAATACTATAGTAATCATATTATATTATTGTGTAGTCCTAGCCTTGGCTATTGCAACAACATGCCTGGCATTTTTTATGCGACCCCCAACTCGTATAATTCCGTCTTCCAAAAAGGGTTGTAAATTATGTAATTTACTTTTTATCGTTAAAGTTCCATTTTTATTTAAATCCTTTATTTCACTGGACCAATAGGACGCTTGAGTTATTTTAATTATAATTGTTTTAGGTTCTTTTAATTCGTCGGATAATATTGGACCAACCTCCTTCATTTTTTTTATTCGATTTTTTATAAAACGCAAATAACAAAACATACGTAATAATCTTTTCCACGATGAATACTTACTTAATATTTGTTCGTTTATTACAGCGTGATGCGGTAGAAAATAGCCGGGTTCATTGACCGACCCTTCCCCCGCACTGCACAGCAGTTCCATATGACCGAGATATAGATATTCATCAATAAATTGCTGATAATCTTTACCTAATTTTGTATTTAGTGCTAATCGTTTTTCCGTCGACAGAAATCGCCGGAACGCGCCTTGATAAGAATTACCTAATTTATTACTAATTTTTTCGCGGAACGGCAATTGTACTATGAATCTGCACGATTCGTCGCGTCGCACTGTTTTAATAAATTGATCGTAACAAGTTTTTTCTTCCAAAGTGTAATTAGTATTTTTATCTACGTTTTCTACTTTCCAAAACTTCGCAATTTTTTCGTCTAAATTATCATTTATTTGATACGTACTTAAAGAAATATTTTGTGCCTCTTTTAAATTTGATTTATTATTATTAACTGAGCCTGCCACAATCCAACTAAACGTTGTTCTTTCATTGTAGGACCATTTTAATTTAATTTAATATGACCCTTATCCAATAAATCAAAAAACAATTCTACACCCATCAACATATCTATACGTTGTGGTTTGTTGTAGGCTTTATCAGCTAGTATTATATTATTCGGTATCTTTATGGACTCAGTATTTATCGCTTTTATTGGAAATGGTCGTTATACAAGGTATTATCAAACATGATATATTAGCTTTGAAATCGGTACAACAAGAACTCACCATTACCGTAATCTCGGATTTTACCGTATGCAATGTGTGCTCGATTCCAGCTATATCATAATCAACTCTTTTGCGTCGCAATTTTAACATTTGTGCCATATGCTCTGTGATAAAATTGTTCTGCGAGCCAGAGTCCAACAACACTCTGCACCTTACCGGTTTGCCATCAGTATTATATACATTAATTATTGCGGTTGATAGGAGCACCTGTCTATAGCTTATCGCCGATGCGTGTGCCGACACACTTACATTACTCGCTGTGGGACTTTCCTCACTATTTTCTTCATATTTCTCCGAAGTGACATTACTTTCCGTCTTATTTATTTTTAAATGTAATAATGTGTTATGCGCCTTAGACAATCAAAACATTTTTTGACATCAAATTTCTTTCCGATAGGATTCCGCATACATAACTTGCATAACTAAAGTTCACCCACCCTTTTTATTCGATCGAGAATGGGTAAAGCTAGAAAAGACGGACATTTATACATTGAATGCGCTAATTGGCAATTATAACATTTCATCCCACTATATGCCGGAAACGCTATGGATTTGTGGTTATTTTTGTTTTTCTTACCGGTAATCATATTTTTTTTATTTTTTCGTCATTACAAATATTTATATTCGAAGAGGTCTCCACTGCTTCCATTATTTTGAATCTCTTCTAAAAATTCAAGTAACACTTGTACTTTGGGTATTTCATTTTTAGGGGATACCGTTTCCCACGCTTTAAGTGTACTAGAAGCCAATTTAGTTGCTATAAGGTGTAATAATATTGAGCCCTACTCCTTAGGTTTCTCACCTAATGTTTCTAACGCGCTCATATGACCGTTTAACTGATCTATTAATTTTCTTAATTGCACAGCTTCTTCATTTATCGCCGGTATATCGAACAACTCTTTTGTGGGCGATTGCACTAATACTTTTTTATTATTATATCGAGCTTCCACGCTATTCCATGCTATGTTATAATTTGCGGCCGTTGTTTCTATATACATTATAACCTGTGCTGCCTCACCTTTTAGACACGAGCGCAAATGAAAAAATCGCTGTATATCGTCAATACGTGGGTTAGTATGTACCATTGCTAAATAAATATCGTCGAAAGCTGACCATTCCTCATATACACCCGAAAATGTTGGTATATATATATATAGGTGATAATTTCATTTCCGCGGTTGCACCGCTGCAACAAAAATTAGCGCTACAATTAATTGAGTGTGCTGTATTATGGCCTATAGAAGTTTAGACCTGATCAAACTCCAACCATAATTCATCGATCTTTTTACTTCTACATTTAACTTCTAATGGGTCAACTCCTTCTTTATTTAGATTTATATTGAACCTAGTTAATTGTCCCTCTGCGGGCTTTTAGTGACATTAAATCTGACATATTTTTGCGGAGGTACGCTTTTTTGAGTGTGTATACTTGTCAGTGTGTGTGTGACAGCTTGATGCCTAAAGTGGACGGGATCGCCGATCAAGATAGACAGCTGTGTGTTTGTGTGGTAACGTACGTATGCGAAAGGCTAATTATTTTGTTATCTATATGTACCGAGCTATATTATCTACGACCATTTCCCCTTTGACTTAAATACCTTTGTGAAAACCCGCTAATAGGGTTTATTTATAGGAAAGAAATAAGTAACTTAGAACTGATACTACTTACCACCTTGAAACTCACGTCCTCGCCGTCTTCTTGCTTGATTTTTTCTTTTTCGCCCTACTTTTGAATATATAATATTTGCTGCACATACACGACCAATTATCACTCGCACTTATCTTTTTTACGGAATGCTATAACTATTAATTACTAATCAAAAAAATTACTGTTTTACTTTAAATTATGAGTTATGCTAATTGCAACCGATTCGAAGGACCAATGTTACCGTCGATTTTCTAGTGGACTGTAGGTAGATGTAAGTGTAATTAACAGATTTTATTTTACTGCATTATTTAGTTTATTCTGCGGTGACCGACACTGTGACAAGTATATGTACACTGATACATGGTTGAACACACACTAAACGCTAAAGGCATAATTTTTTTCATGCATTATAATTTTTATTTATTTTGCAGATTCTTGAAATTAGATGGTCAATGGGAAATGACATAAAATATTCAATTAAACGGATATTTGAAAAGTTTTTTAATGATGAGTTTCTATGCAAATATGCTTTTCATGGAATTAGGAATAAAACATATTTTTCTACGTTAAATATCTGTTCCACTATTTTTTGGTAAGATATTATATAAAATATAACAGCGATAACTTATTTTCCATTATAATATACTTGTTAGTAAATATGTATGTTTAGAAATTATTTATAAATGCTGTATACAGCATATTGTGAACTAGTATACCATGGATGGCAAACCTTATTATACCATCAATAATTTCATAAAACGCACATTATAGAATAAAATCAACTTTATTACCTATTAGAATATAATTCATATATTGTATTTAATAGAATTGTAAATTATTAAAATCATCAAATTTAATAAAAATAGAGATATGTGTGCCATAACTAATGATGATATCACCATTCCTACTATATACCACATTAACTGAGACAATAAGTAAATTTATGATTAAACAGTAATATAATAAAATATCAATAAAATTTAAAATTCTATTTTGTTACTCTCAACTCTCACTCAAATATAATTTTAATAAGATATATAAATAAAACTATTAACTAGCTTATACAGTAGCCGCCGCTTATAAGACTCACTTTGGGACCAGCACAAAGTGAGTCTTATAACCGAATGAACCTTATAGGCGAAGTGGAAAAAAAAAAATTAATTACGTTTTTATAAATTTTATTTTACTACATATTTTGCTTTGATTTTAATACATATTACATATTACATACTTTATTATTGAATAAATTTAATAATCCCGATAAAAAAAACTAAAATAATTAAACGTAAATACATATTACATATAAAAACTATTTTTGAAAAAAATTTGTAATTTTAGTTTGTTTTTTATTTTCTTCTAATATTCCGAAAATATACTGTTCGTATTCGTATTGTATATTAAAATTATTACCACGGTGATGGACAGCTCTCCTTATCACTTCTAAAGCCTCCAGAGCCTCTTTATTTGATGGTGGTTTAACTACGACGTCGACTTCTTCTTCATCGCTTTCGTCATTCTCCTCATCGTTGTCCTCATCATTTATAATAGACTGAGAAATTTGGTCCTCAGAATACTCTTCAGAAGTTTGGAGATCACGATCTATATCCATCCAATCCTCATATTATGTTTTGTCATTGAGGTCTTTACTATGGTCATCTTCTTCTTCTTCCTCTTCCTCAGTTTTGACGAAGCCTCCGTGACGAAAACAATTTCGAATAGTCACAATATCACTAATATTATTCCACGCTTCGTTGACAAAGTGTAAGGCCTCGAGAATGTTGATTTTCTTGGAAAGGTCATTAGCCTTTAAAGTCGAAGTTGACTCACATTCAAACATTTCATCAATGAGAGTGATTACCCTTTTTCTCATTTTTAGTCTATAGTAAGCTTTAAGTGTACGAATAATTCCTTGGTCACAGGGCTGAATAAGTGATGTGGTATTAGCCGGTAAAAAAACCAGTTTTATATTTTTCAAGTTCAAACTTACATTGTGAGCTGTGCAGTTGTCTACTAAAAGTACAATTTTTCTGTCTAGTTCATTATCCCATTTGATCAACCACTGACTAAAGATTTCTTGAGTCATCCATGCATTTTTATTCGCTGTATAATCAACAGGTAAAGCTTTAACTCCTTTGAAACAACGAGGTTGCTTACTTTTCCCGACAACAAGCAGTTTCTTTTTTTCTCCAGTCGATCGTTATTCATTCTTTACAAGATTTTGTTCCCTTTGCTTTGTCATTTTGAAGAACTTATGTATGCTTATGTATATGCCTATGTATACTTATGTATGCTCAGGTAGTGCTCTAAAGTACAGGCCAGTCTCATCAGCATTAAACAAATCAGAGGGTAAAAATTCGGAGATGATTGAAGGCCATTCATTTTCTAGCCAAAAATGTGCACCTGTAAAATCTGCGTCACCTTTTTCTCCGTGCGTTTTTTGGAAACAAATGTTTTCTCTTTTTTTCCACCGATGGAACCACCTATCTGTCGCTTTGAAGTCAACCTTTCTCATTTTTCTGCCAATTCTTCAGCTTTTTGGCGAAGCAAAGGACCTGACACGCGAGCATCTTTATTTCTAACTTTTACGAACCATTCTTTCAATGCACGTTCAACAGTATCATCCTTTCCACATCTTTTCCTTTTTCGACTTTGCGACTCATTTTGTAATGCTTCACATTCAATGTCGTCCCTATTCTTCAATATTCTACCCAATACCGATTGTGAAATGTTCAGCCTAACTGCTGCATCACGTTGTCCCATCTTTGGAAGTTGATCATATTTTCTTAAAATGTCTATAGTGCGGTCAGCGAAACTAGGCGGGTGACCGTCGCGCGCCTGGTGGTAAATTTCCGTCAGTGTTTCCAAGACTACATTCCCGCGTAAAATAATTTTAAAAGCTTCGGAATTGTAATAAAAACTAAACATACGATATTTCTGTACATAAAACTTATTATTTATTAATTATCACATTCTCTAACAAGTAAATAATATAATAGTAAAACATAATATTAATATTTTAATTTTTTACGCAATTATATATGTATGTACATTTAAAAACTAATAACTAAGTAATGCAATTTAAAACTACTATAATGATATTTACATAAAAATTATTTTTCAGAATCAAAATAATCTAGTCCTCATCATCTTCATCTTCACTTGAACTGCTTTCGTCCGGATTAATGGTCAATATTATCGGTTCTAATATCTCATCCCTTAGTCCCGCCTTGACATAGTCCTCCTCCTGAATCTTGACGCAATGTTCTCCACATTTTGCCCAATCGTCCGGAGTAACTGTATCGATTTCTGCAATTTTGAATGTTGAATTTTTTTCAGCCACTCTGCCTTTAACTTGGGCCCAAATTAGTTCTATTAGATTATACTGACAGTGGTAAGGGGGAAGCCTTACCACTTAATGACCCATTTGGAAAGTTAGTTCATCCAGTTTATATTTTTTTTCGCGTGGCATCGAAAGTTTCACTTTTTCCCGTAACTCGTCAAGTGTTTCTACGGGAGAAAAATCTATATTTTTATCCCGTAACCACCGTTGAACATCTGCTTTTCTACTGTTGGACTTCGGATAGTTCTCGGCCAACGAAGAATGATACGACGCATTATCCATAACAATGATACTCGGCTCTTCTAAGCTAAGTAACATTTGTGAAAACCAACTTTCAAAAATTGTGGCGTTCATTTGCGAATGGTAATCTTTGTCACCAGAATTACATCTAAAAATAGGTTTTGATTCTTTAATGAATCCGAAGGAAGGAGATCCGGCGTGGCATACGATGAGGCGACTGCCTTTGCCTGTAGGTACTTTTAAGCCTTCCGTATTTTCTTCATTTTGCCAAATACGTCCACGAGTATGATTTTGATTGACCCAGGTTTCATCTAAGTAGACTACCGGCCGAGTATCACCGTTCCTTCGAAACTCGTTCATTTTTCTAAGAAATTTAACCCGCGCAGCTACAATATCGGACCGTTCCATCAAGAATTTGCGACCATCATTACATTTTTTGTACTTAAAATTAAGTTGTTTTAAAATTATTTTCACCGACGATTTTGATCCACGGTAATTTAATTTTTCACGCAGTTCCAATAATATTTTAGCACTTGTTGGAAACTCACCCTTGTCGTAAAAGCTATGGACAACTCTTCTGACCACTTCATTCTCAAAATCATCTAATTCAGTGACAGTTTTCTCACGACTATACCTTTTTCGTGGTGATTGAAATTTAAGGTCATTAGGACTTACGACGCATACTGATTCATCTTGATTTCCTGTTGTTTTGCTTTCATTACATATCAGTTGTACAATTCTCAGACTTACAGCACAAACATCGGCCGTCCTCTCCTGTGATTGTCGAAAATAATCGGCCAATTCCGGCTTGTCTTTGCACTTAGCTAAGTTTTTAAAAAATATATACACTTTGTATATTGTGTTTTTCGTTTGGGAATGTATATCGGGTCGAATTGACATTTCGAAAAAATAATTTATACAAACGATTAGTAAAAAAACACACAAAAAAATTAAAATATTGTACAATATTAAAACAGCCGTATGAAAAAATCACATTAAATTCAAACGATACCAAACAACACATGCACGAAGGGCAGAGGATCGCAGACTAACACATTATGAAAAAAACTGTTTCTGTACACAATTTGCTTTCAATAAAATAACAATAAGTACAATAAGGTCAATGGAATGCGGTCGAGTAGGTAGTAAAAGACAGTTCTGTAACCTCATCCTGCTGGCTAATTCCTATACCCGTCTGCTCATCCCACTACACCGTCCGCTCATCCCACTATACCTGTATGCTCATCCCACTATACCTGTCTGCTCATCCCACTACACCGTCTGCTCATCCCTATAAATTGACGGCTGCTGAACCCACCATATATCACACACGTTAACGATGTAACCCCGCCACCTATGACCACCGCACGACATTGCCGCCGCGCGTGGAAAATAATTTAAAAATTTATCCGCCGGACCGGGATTCGAACCCGGTTCCCTTGCATGATAAGCGACCACCGTACCACTGGGCCGCCTACTCGCATATGTTTGAGAAGGTATATTCTATCTCATTTAACTGGCGTTTACGACGTCCGCTTACGTACGCGAGGTATAATTTCCCCCGCCACTAAACCATACCAAGAACCGCCGCGAACGAGCGCGCGAGCCCTCCGGTGCGTTATCAGTTATCACAGTGACTTTAACACAAAATAATCTACTGGTATATTTTTAACATTTTGTAGCTATCAAATACACCGAGACGGGTCTATTATAGCAATTTATTGAGCCCAGAGGAAACAGTTGACATAAAATTATGTTAAGTTCTAAAAAACATTTCTTTACACAGCATGTATATGATGACCCTACCTTACTACGTTATATACGACAATTTAAAAAATGTGACATTTGTGGGCGTCGCTTGCAGGTATGGACTAGTATGGACGAGTTAGTAAAAATCCATGGTTCTAGATATTATGAAGATGTATTAGGTACAGCAGAATGTAGGGAAGTAGCTGTTCCACGCTAAATTTATAGCCGGCGCGCGGCCCTACTTTTTCAAAAATGAGCCCCGGGGTGGAGTGGCGTCGCGGAAACGAGAGTAGGTACCGATTACGTATCGCTATATACATGCATAAATACATGCGTCTCGAGGTTCGATTTTTTTTCGGAAATCTCGCGTTTCATACGTCAGAGGGCGGCGGATCCGGAGGTCCGCTCGCCGAAGCGGTCGGATCGCCCCCTCAAACGCCTTTTGACGGCCGTCCAAACGGCGTTCGCCTTTCGCGTGCACGGTGACGTGGCTTATGAGTCATACATTTGACTCTAAACTTCATCTCAGTAGGTGGCTAGGTTGGTTAGGCGTTAGGACAGGTGACTCCAGGGTCGTGGTTTCGAACCCGGCCGCCGGGATTTTCGTTAATTTGCGGCGGCCGTGTTAAATCGTAATGAATTTTTTTTTCACTTTTTTTTTCGTCGTTTCGCTATCAGTTCCGTCTTATCGTATTTAACGAAAATGTTCGATTTTTTTTTAAAATTCGAGTTTTAGCCCGTTTCGGTCGTATCCCCCTCCCCGTTTGGATCTTATTCGCGTTCCCCGCTAAATTTACGGCCGGCGCGCGGCCCTACTTTTTCAGATACGAGTCCCGGGGAGGAGCGTTGTCGCGGAAACGAGAGTAGGTAACGCTAAATATATACGTCGCGTCGTTTTTTGCCGTTTTTTTCTAAATTTCCAGTTTTAGCCCTTTTCGACACTTCTGCAATCCCAATTCCCAGTTGATGACTTATTCGCGTTCCCCTCTACATTTACTCGACCACCGTCGAGTAGGTGTTACTATATACAGGCATCGAAATGCATGCGTCGAAGGTTCCTTTTTTTTTCTCGTATATCGCGTTCTAAACTCAGTACGTAGGTAGATAGGTAGCACGGCCGCCGGAATTTTTTTTTCACTTTTTTCTTTATTATTACTTTTCGATTTCACTTCAGCCTTATCATATTATAACGAACATTTTACGATTTTTTCGAGTTTCACCGTCGAAGGCTTATTCGCGTTCCCCGCCAAATGTATAAGTCAGTGCTTCGCTCGAGTCGAGTGCCGCGGAGGAGATCGGAGAGCGGACAGTGTCGTTATTACTATATACGGAAATGAAAATATGCGACGAAAAGTTTCAATGTTTTTTTTCGCGTTTTTTTTTCGTCATATAAATATGATTAACGGAAACGTCATCAGCTTATCGAGTTTTGCTTCTAAATCGCTCTACTACCTACTAATTACTATAAACGACAAAAACTATTAAACGTGGCCGCCCGACTTGCTAGACACTCAACAAATCACGGCGACTATATTATGACTAGCACGGGCGCCCGAAATGTAATTATCTATTTATATACATTTGATTTACGTCATTTGGCGTTTTCATGCCTTGACCCGGACGTCGCACTATCCGACGAAGTCAGATTGCCTACCAGGGTTGCTACATCCAACGTCGAGGAAGGTGACTGACCTGCTAGACACCAAAACATTTACCAATTTTTTTTCACGCGACCTTTTACTTAATTTTGCGTCAGAAGTCACACGTTGTCCGCTATCCGACGCTAGACCCTAGATCCTGCTAGACCCCAAAACATATTTTCGCGTAATTACGTCGAGGAAGGTGACTCGGTAGTCGGATTGCTTACGAAATGTTTTGAATTTTTTTTCACGTATTTCATTACTTAATTTTGCATTGTCGGTGACTGCAATGGACGCTGTCCCGGCCGCACATTGCCTACCCGGATAACATGGATGACTGACCTGCTAGGCACCAAAAAATCAGATGGTGGCTATATGATTTGAATGGACAAGCGAAATATTTTGAATTTTCTTCACGTAATTTATCCTTGAATTTTGCGTTTTCGGTAACAGTAATGAACGTCGTCCGCGATTCGACGCAGTCGGATTGCATACCTTATGACGTGACCCGGCCGTCGCACATTGTCCGCTATCCGTCCAAGTCGGATAGCCTACTCCTATTATTATAGCGAAGGTTAGTTATTCGAGGTGACTGACCTGCTAGACACCCACAAAAATTACTATATTATTTTTTTTATCAAATTTTGAATTTCAGGCGGCATTTAAGAACGTTGTCGGCTAACATTGTTGATTATATGGGCTACCACGTCGAACCGCGGTGATCCTAACCCTTATTACACACGGACCGGCTCGAGAACAACGACCAGATCAGATTTAATAAATAAACATAA